AAATGTTAAATTGTTCTAATAGCCAGGATTCCTATTGTTTGCGTTTGCCTAACCCTAAAAGTAACACTTCTAGAGTTTTATTACTTAGTTTATTGGTATTAATTAATTTGGTGCTGATTGTTGTCTTGAGGGAGAATTTCTTTCTCAGGTTAATGAAACATCTTTATATCCAAGTATATTTAGAACATGTATCAGAAACTGGTATTGAAGTTTTATCAGATTTCTTGATAGTTGTTATTGAGATAACAATATTGGTATTCCATTAATTTTAATAGAAACCTTAACTTCTCAATATTTCTCAAATAATGTCCTAGTATTCCTGGGAATAAAGAGATAAAATATGTTTAAGACAAGTTGACATAATGATGGTGATGATTTTTCTGGGTACACACCATAGAAAGTCATGTAATCTTAGAAGTTCTTCAACTAATCATGTACTTGTATCAGAATAATCAACTATACTTTGGGTTTAGAAGCATAATTTTTAAGGCAATCGTGTAATTGCAAACCTAAACCAAGTTTCTTGTTTTCACCTGAACTTGCAATTTTGTAGTCTGAATATCAGACAGACTTCTCTTTCTCTGGAAGCTTCTGGCCCGTCCTAGTTATGCAGGTAGGACAGAAATGGTGAAAGGATTTACATTCAGCCACAGCTGATGTTGAGCTTTGGTGTGGAGGGTCCTATGAAAGATACGTCTCCCAGGAGGTCTTTTCAGCCTACTTAAGTTTTCTCTGGGAGGCTGATCTAAACTGGGACTCAAGATTATTCCCACCAGGAATGTGGTTCTCTAACCTGACTCTCTACCCAGATTGTCTTCTGAACCCACACTGTTCTGATCTGTATCTCCTTGAGTAGAAAATGCCAGTAGTTGTGGCAGGATGTGGGCCAGGACAATTGCCAAAGGAATCCCCAGTCTCTGTCAGGAGACTCCTCAGACTCAGAACATATAAACAGAGATGTTAGCACTGGAGGGGACCTTCAAGATCAGCTTGCCCCCACTTGGATTATCAATGAAGAACACATCAGAGAAAGGAATCTCTCACTAAGGTGACACAGATAGCATAGGTAATGTGGATAGGACCTTGGGTTTCATGACTTCTGAATTTCACTGTCACGCTAGCTTAAAAATAGATATCAGGCTTCTTATATTATCTAAATGAAACATTCGGTAAATTGCATCTTTATTTGTTCATAAAACGTAATAATCAAGTAATAAAACGTAATCAAATTTTCAAATAAATTTATGTTACTCCTTGTGACATTCGAGTGTCAGTCTGCTTACATTATTTTATATGATGGCAAATTGGGAAATTTCTTATATTTCAGAATAGTACAAGTCATGGGTATACAAAACTTTCACATATTAAGAAGAGAGGACTTTGTTTTTCCCAGTCATTTTCAGGGATGATTTCTGTAAAGGACTCTACTTCATAGACTAAGCTGGTTACCATTGTTTTCCCTTCTAAAAAAAAAAAAAAATCAGGTGCTATCTGTAAGTGGTTCCATTGTAAATATTAGAGAACACGCTGCTTCAAACAGATTAGGGAAAAACGGGGGTGGGGGGGCTGGGGGGATGTTGGAGTGGTGATTTTGTCCTTGAATGTTGACGGTTCCATATTGTGGTGAGGTTTATGTCAGTTTGCTGTTTGCAGATGATGATGCTATTATTGGAATTTTTTTCTACCAAAAAGAAATTGCATTTTTTTTGTATGAACACGTGCCCTCCCAGAGTACTACTACTGGTGTCTTTGTGGAATTTCCATTATTGTTCAAAGGATGAGCATGTCATCTGTCAGTACAGGCAAGGTGAAGACCAATTCAGCAATGAATATGTGTAAAATAGATGCCTGAATCAGACTAAGACACATTTTACTTATTTTGTTAAAAAATTGCAACTGAATAACTCCTTAGCAAGTAAGACTGTTGTGATAGAGATGGCTGGTTATGGCAAAAATATACTGGCTAGACAGTGGCAGGGACTGTAGTTCAAATTACTCAGTAGGAAAAAAAATTATACCTGTACATTTCCAATTCTAAAAATTCTGTGTACAGCTCAACTGCCAAAGTAGTTTTCTTTTTTCCTCAGAATGCTCATTTTAGCATTCCGTGGGTAGATGTTGTTCCTTAGGAATACATACTGTGGTGTTGATCAGTGGTTCTATATTCTCTGATGTATTATCAGGAGAATACCTATGTAGGCATATGGGCCTGGGAAAGGTTGAAAGATATTTGTGGTGATTATGATATAAGCATGGATTCCTGAGTAGCAGTCAGAATCCTTACTTTCCCAGTTATTGTCCTTTTTTTTTTGTTTTTTAAAGATTTTACTTATTTATTCATGAGAGACAGAGAGAGGCAGAGACACAGGCAGAGGGAGAAGCAAGCTCCCTGCAGGAAGCCCGATGTAGGACTCGATCCCAGGACCCACGGATCACATCCTGAGCCGAAGGCAGACACTCAGCCACTGAGCCACCCAGGCGTCCCCCCAGTTATTGTCTTAAAATGAGTAAGGAATGATGTTTTATCAGGTATACATGGTAAACACCAAGGCTCCTTACTCTCCACTTGTTGATGACACAGTACTTCTAACAAGGGTAGTGCATACAAATCCAGTGTTCTTAACTTCAACTCCAGAGAGCGTTTTAGCCAAGTGCAAACCCAATATTAGAGGATAAAGAAATTAAAGTAAATGTGGTATTGACATTTGTCTGCAAAGAATAACATAATACAGAAAAATTCTAGAATGAAATATTGATCTAAAAGTTATTTTGAGGATGAAATATTACCAAACACACCATGAAAAATTATATTTATAGTACAGATAAATTTATACCTATATTTTCAAATCTAAGATTTGTTTTGACAGTTCATTTTCCTAGTCTAAGGAGGTATTTTGAAATAAAGTTATCTATTTTAGACAAGTCTGGCATGGGTCTCTGAAACTTAAAAAGAAATAGCCAGGGCATCACTTGCACAGATTGTAGTAGTTTAAGAATGGAAACAACCCATCTGCCCCAATGTAAGGCAATTGGACAAATCTTGATTTATTCGAGGATACCCTATTGAACAGCACTTAGAGTAAATGTGGTAGATATACAAGTATCAATGGAAATAAATGCTAAAAACACAGTGTTAAATACAGAGTAGTTGCAAAAAGCATAGTATGATACCATTTATATAAATATAAAACCTAAGAACTAATTCTTTTCTGTATATTCTAAAGATGGATACATGTGCCATAAGAGTATAAACCATACACAAAATGATATGCACCAACAAGCAGTAATTTCTGTACTTATTTACTTTTTATTTTTAATTTTTTTCTTATTTAATTTTTTAAAAAATAAATGCTTTTTAGCAGATATGGCAACTATAAACATGGTATGGTAGGTAGGTAGGTAAGTGATTTTTCTTTTTAGTACTTTTCTGTTTGCCATAATTCAAAGTTTTTTAATTTTAATTTTTAATTTTTTAGTTATAATTCAAACATTTTGAGAATATGGCTATGTGAGATGAGAAAACTATAGCCCATCTTGTGATTAGTTTGGAAACTTTTCTTTTTTTAAGATTTTATTTATTTATGATAGACATAGAGAGGCAGAGACACAGGGAGGGAGAAGCTGGCTCCATGCAGGGAGGCTGACGTGGGACTCGATCCCGGGTCTCCAGGATCACACACTGGGCTGAAGGCGGCACTAAACCGCTGAGTCACCTGGGCTGTCCCAGTTTGGAAACTTTTTAAAAAAGGTTTGACTCTTTCCTTATATTCAGAGCCTTGGTCTACACAGTTAATTTGAAATGAAACATTGAATGTAAGGTATAGTATGAATAGCTAGTGGTCAATCAATAACGGCTCTGTATAGGCTAGGATTCCTAATGGGGATGATTGTTGGTAGAGAAAAGCATTTTCATTTATTGGGAATAAGAAAGCTTGTTGTATTGGGCACTTGAGGTTTAGAAAGGAGGTCGTAGAAAATGGGGGAATCAAAGCAAATTAAGGGTCGGGGAGAGTAAACTGAACAATGCTGGCTTACCAGTCTGGCTGGAAAATATATCTTTGAAATGGAATCAGTTAGCATTGCATCATGTCCCTGCAGGGTTTAGCCTTAGATCCCCATTTCACTGGGCCATCCTAGAACAAGGTGGGGAGATTATGTGTCTTTCCCTTTTGAAAGCAATTTAGTAAGATGGACGAGACACCATTTGAATTCAAATCTATTCCCATATATTCAGGAGTGGTGGTAATGGGTTTGATGGACAGTTTGATTTAGTAGTTAATTGAAGATCCTGATTAGATGCATTTGGAAACACAACTTTAGTCCTCCTGTGTTAACTCACAGGTCTTTGAAGAGTTGATAAACCACTGGAAACGGGCCTGAGGTTGGAATTGGTTATAATGCTCCTTCCCTGAAGTCCATACCTATTCCAGACCAGGAAGGACATGACACTGGAAGTGGAAGTGGCTAAATTTAAATGCCACCGGTGCCTGCATGCAGCTCCCCTTTATTGTGGTTGCCTTGAGAAGCTATTTTATTATGGAAATGCCACTGCTCAGAATGCTTCTAGTTCTTTATCGGGTCACTTGGTGTCTTCTGCCTTAGTTTCTTCTTCTGCAAAGTGAAAATAATAATGCCCACTCTGACTCCTAAAGTTGTCACGAAAATCAAATGAAAGTATTTCATAAACTGTTCAGCGCTATGTCGATGTTACCAATGAACACACTATTCCAGAAACCATACCTTTACTTTATGGTCACTCTTCACTTTTCAATCAAAGATACCTTATATATCAACTTGTCTCCAAATGGCTTTTGCTATAACCCCAAATCAAATCTTCTTTCTAAGTATAAAAATACTGAAAATAATGTCAATATGGCGTGGCCCTCAATGTAAGCCCATCTTAAATCCTTTTTTAAAGATGGAAATTCTTGTGTGGAAATTGTGGGGCCATTTTATGACAAGGAAATGAAATCTAATTTCTTTGTTTTTCCTCTTTTTAGGAAGTCACCAAAGCAGTCCAGCCTCTCTTACTGGGAAGAATCATAGCTTCCTATGATCCAGATAACAAGCAGGAACGCTCCATTGCAATTTACCTAGCCATTGGCTTATGCCTTCTCTTTATCATGAGGCCGCTGCTCCTGCACCCAGCCATTTTTGGCCTTCATCACATTGGAATGCGCATCAGAATAGCTATGTTTAGTTTGATTTATAAGAAGGTAATGCTTTCTTGCAACATGTTTTAAATGTCATGTTGATACACATAAGGGGTAAATGCTGAAATCAATTTTATAGCCTGTGAAGTAAATGGCAACAATAATTAATGTTTCTAGTTTTCCTTGGTAATCAATACAGTTCGTGTCAGCTAATAATTATTGAACATCTTCTATAAACTGCCTGTATTATGGATTTTTAAAAAACTAGTCATGTCATCATTTTTTAGAATTTATGGATTCCATTAAAACAATGCTTATTATCTGCATAAAAGTCATTGGCATAATATCGTCTCGTAAAATGCCAGGTTATCGTTAGGTCTCAATAACAAGAGTATAGTATGTAATTGTTAGTGCTAATCCGAGCATTAACAGTTTCTGCTTTAATTAGTTAAGACACAGTGGTGGCATCCGCTCATCCACTGCTTTGAGTTAGATTTTTGTCATTCTGTGAGTCCTGTAAATTAAGAATTTTTGCAACAGCACATGCACGGGAGCCATCAGAACCTGTTCAGCTTTTCTGTGTGCATTGTCCAGACAAGAGCCCAAGTTTCTGAAGCATGATTTAGGTGAATGCAGATTAAGACTTACCTACCTTAGAAACACAATGTAAGGTCATTTCCATGGCATGGCTTTCTAGACAACGTGTGACTGCTTGGATCTACCATCTCATTTTAGAAAGCTCTTTTGGCTGAATCATTGGGATATTGCTTTACCTTTCTTCTCTTTTTCTTCCCCCAATGTAAAAACTTTATATACTTGGCTTACAAGGGACATGGATCTGAAATCACCTCAAGCAAATAACCCATAACACTCCATAACATAGAGGCAAGGTCAGTTGCGTTGTAAAACCTTGATAGTCATACTTTATTATTCAAAACAGCCTTTTATGGAGGCATAAGAAAAAAAAATGGAGTCCACAGTTTAATCGGATCACCTCAGTTACAATCTCATCAGTTCACAAGTACCAGGAAAAGATGGGCAATAAATCAACAGAATTTTATTTTGATCCAGAAATTTTATGTAAGTGAACAAATTCTTAGATATCACTTAGGAGATAGAGTGGCACAGCATGAACACCAAAGAAAGTTCAATTTAAAAAATATTTATGAAAAGTGCATATTATCATAATGATGGATAATAGCTAAGGACTTCCATGACAAGCTTCTGGGTGAACTGGATATATTATTTCATTTGATCTTCTCCAAAACTCTCTATGGTAAGAATTATTATCCCTGTTTTATGCCTAAAATGTTTTAAGAAACTAAGACCTAAAAAGTATGGAGAACTGTGCAAAAACTTCGAAATTTCTGAAATGGGTAAATCATAGTCCTTGACATGGGGGATTATATAGATATCAGAGCGGGGAAGTACTGGGGTGATAGAGCAAGGCAAATTGTGTTATATAGGAGAGAGATATGAAGTACTCTGGGCTCAGGGGAAGGGGGGATCAAAGAAGGAGAGGGTTAGTTTGTAAATAAGTCCCTATATAACATTTAGGACAAATACAGCAATCTATGTACTTACAGATCCAGAACACATTCAGGAAAAGTTAGAGGCTATTGTATCTCTCCTTCCTCCTCTCATTTTTGAATAGCTGTGTTATTACCCGGTTGGTTTGCCCCTCTAGGCACACTTATTGGCCTGAGTTTGCATCATCACCAGAGAATGCAGTTGTATCTTCACCGTGGCTGTGGTTTGGTCCCTAAAGTGAGCCTAAAGTTAACTGGTCCCGTATCTGACCAACTCCATCCACATGGCAGGCAGCCACGAACTCTTTCCTACAATATCCCAATGTTTGTACTACAGTGCTGTTCTGCATTGTTTTAAGATCTGTGACTATTATGCATTCACATTATATTGTATTTATTTTTTAAAAGATTTTATTCGTTCATTCATGAAGACAGAGAGAGAGAGAGAGGCAGACACAGGCAGAGGGTGAAGCAGGCTCCCTGCGGGGAGCCCGATGTGGGACTCGATCCCAGGACCCCAGGCAAAAGCAGATGCTCATCCACTGAACCACCCAGGCACCCCCAAATTATATTTTAGATGATAAATCTAAATACATTTATAAATGTCAAATCATTATGTTGTCACCTGAAATTAAGACAGGATTGTATGTCAATTATATGTCGATTAAACATTAAAAATGAAAGAAAATAATGAATACAAATTAAATTTATCCTTTGAATTCCTAGAAGATAGAGGTAATTAAAATGAACAAATATTCACTGAGTGCTCCCTGTGTGCATAGCTTCCTGCGAAGGCCTCTGGAGAGGACTCAAATCCCCTGAGATGGACAGTTTCTTACTGAGTCATGTGTAACCCACCTCGATAGAATTTTCCCTGTCCTTCTGTTCTAATAGTGATTTGAAATGAAGTGCTTTGATTCCTTCTTCATCTGTGCTAATCTAACTGCTGTTCATTATTCCCGACCCGTCTTAAATTCTATCTCCTCAATAAAGTGCAGATTTTTATAACCAGATGTGTGAACCTTCTCTTACCTACCCTATTATGTTCTGCACCCTTTAGCTCATTTACCATACCATATGTGGTTGTGTATGCTCCACCCTGAGGCAAGAATTATGTATTAGTGGGGACGCCTGGGTGGCTCAGCAGCGGAGCGTCTGCCTTCAGCTCAGGGCATGAACCCGGGGTCCTGGGATCAAGTCCCACGTTGGGTTCCCTGCAGGGAGCCTGCTTCTCCCTCTGCCTGTGTCTCTGCCTCTTTCTGTGTCTCTCATGAATAAATAAATAAAATCTTAAAAAAAGAACAATGCATTAGTAAATCCTAATAATAATCCCTGAAGCCTTGACTCCAGTGATTTGCATCACTTAAGTGCTCAATATAGATATATTCCGTTGAAACAATGCTGGATGGGTACTCTCCAATCAAAGGCATCTAATGGCTAATCAATTCTTACTGAATTTTACAGCCTAAATATAACTGTGATCTTTCATAATTGTGTTTGATTTATCTACTTAACAATTATATTTGTGTATAGGGGTATATTTTTCTTTGTACTATTTAAGGATTTTGTTAATACAGTCTTTCACAAAAATCCTTAATGATTCATAATATACTTTTGTCGACTTCAACTGTAACTTCATTCAATAGAATTATTATAGAACTCTGTTATAGGTCAGTAGGGTTACTCTAAGGTTATGGTTTTTAAGTTTTTTATTTTTAAAGATTTTATTTATTTGTGAGGGAGAGAGAGTGTGTGAACACAAGCAGGGGGAAGAGGCAGAGAGAGAGGCCGAAGCACACTTCCCACTGACCAGGGAGCCAGGGCTTGATTTCCTGACTCCTGGATTATGACCTGAGCTGAAGGCAGACCCTTAACCCACTGAGCCACCCAAGTGTCCCAAAGTTATAGGTTTTAATCTCAAACTTTGCTTCCTATAAAAACAAAACAAAAAAACCCTACCAAAACCTCTATACTATATAAATGGGCTGTATCATTCCTGTTTTGGAGTAGAAAACATGTCACTGCTGTCTAGATGCTGAAAAACGAAATAATCACAGGCATGCTAGTATAGTATTTTTTGTGAAGAGAAGTATTTATATATCTGAGAAAATACCAAGGTAGATGAACATAAAGTAATAATTTTCATTACCTTTACTTAAAAATACCTAATTCTTTAGCTGTGATACGATGTTACTTATTCATATATTTGTCTTCTCTTTGTCCACATCACCTAACTTCCCATTTTCCTTTTAGACTTTAAAGCTGTCAAGCCGTGTTCTGGATAAAATAAGTATTGGACAACTTGTTAGTCTCCTTTCCAACAACCTGAACAAATTCGATGAAGTATGTACCTACTGATTTAATGTTTTATGCATTATTATTATAACTCCTACAACCCCAAGGGTTTTCCTGGGTCAGTTAACAGTATATATAATAATATATATCCCTACCTTCCCTATTTCTACAAGCTACGGTTGTATAGCAGAGTTCATTCTGGGGTCTCATGGAACCACCCAATGCAAAGGCATCTCGGCTTGCTGAATATTGCATGAAGGTTCTTGAAATTTAATTTTTATCAGATCCCTTTTAATACTTTACTGTTTCCTTTTAATACTTTATTCTTTTTTTAAAGATTTTATTTATTTATTTGACACAGAGAGAAAGAGAGAGAGAGAGGTAGGGAGCACAAGCAGGAGGAGGTACAGAGGGAGAGGGACATGCAGACTCCCTGCTAGGCCGGAAGCCCAACATGGGACTTGATCCCAGGACCTTGGGATGGTGACCTGAGCCAAAGGTAGACACTTAACTGACTAAGCCACCCAGGTGCCCCTCCTTTTAGTACTTTAAATCAGTTATTTACTTTGGCTGAATATGATATGCTGAGCACTTCATGTTCAGTGCTGTCTTATGACACAAATAAATACAAGGTCTTTGAGGTCAGACAGTGTGTTTTATTTATTTTAGCATTCTTAGTATTTAACATAGTGTTAAACCCACCGCAGGTGCTCAACAAATTACTATTGAATTAAGCATGTATTTATTCTTAATATTTTGTCAGGTGATAGAGTTGTTATACTGAGCCTTTGGAGACTCTTTTGCTCTTTCATGTTTACACCATGGCTCTTGCTTTATCCAGATAGAAGTAAGTTATTTAAAATAAACCCCTGACATGATACTTATGCTATTTAATCTTAATTCCACTGAATAAAAATACTTAAAAGTGCAATGACTTGAAATTTATTCCTTGGGAAATCCTAGTCTATTTGCAGAATGTTTAAGCACATTGCTATGTGCTGCACATAGCAAACACCCTGATTTTAGCATGCTGGGAACCATGTGTTTGATTTTATGACCTTGCTGTGCTCACTTTTTCTCATTCAGGCTCATTTGTTTGTCACTGGTTTTCACTGTGATTTTATTTTCCAGGGACTTGCACTGGCGCATTTCGTGTGGATTGCTCCTCTACAAGTGACGCTCCTGATGGGGCTGCTCTGGGATTTGTTACAAGCCTCTGCCTTCTGTGGTCTTGCTTTCCTCATAGTCCTCGCTCTTTTCCAAGCTGGTTTGGGAAGAATGATGATGAAGTACAGGTAGCACTCTAGTTACGTAGCTTGAGAGCTTGGAAGGGTTTTAAATCAGATTTCCAAAGAGTCAACTCTAGTAGAATCAGGCCTGGTCTATTTACTGAACCGGGATCTACGTACTGGGTGTCACTGAAAAAGGAATTGTTTTTAAGGTGTGAATAATACTCCCTATGTCAACAGGACATTTTTTGGCTTATCAGTCTATAGAATTTCTTTTTAAATAGGTGAAGATTGAGTTCAGTTTTATAGATCATAAGGTTCAGGTAGAATGGATAAAGCATATACATACATCGGAGGGAATGCATATATTTCAGGTAGAGTCTTCTAGGTTTTTCACATTCTGGTTCATAGATCATCATACCAGAGCCTTAGTTATTTTTTATTGCAGAATGAATCAGTGATACCAGTCCCAGCTTGTGATATAGAATTTGTCAGCTAGAAGATGATAAAACATATACAAAATTTGGAGTGTCTTTGTTAGCGCTTGGCTTGAATCCCAGATTGTACTCTTACTAGTTATGTGACCTGACTCGGGCTACTTTCCCTCACAGAGTCTCTGATTTTTCATCTTTAAAGTGGAGATAACCATTTCTCTTGGACTTCACTACCATGAAGTGTCCTACACTGGACAGTCTATGGAATGTGTCTAGTAGTAAATGGCACATAGAGGGCATTTACTAAAAGATAGCTATTATTTTTGTTGTCATCTGTCAGATAATAACATAAATGTCCATCTGTTTAATAAGAAGTGTGGCTTTGTTTTTTTTTTAAAGCTTTTGTAGTTCTTGCTGACAGTTTGACTTGGTTTTACTAAGTATTTGATTGATTGATTGATTTACAGAGATCAGAGAGCTGGAAAGATCAATGAAAGACTCGTGATCACCTCAGAAATGATTGAAAATATCCAATCTGTTAAGGCATACTGCTGGGAGGAAGCAATGGAAAAAATAATTGAAAACATAAGACAGTAAGTCTTTCTGATAATTTCAATATAATTAGCCTGTTAATGTTTAATATTTTATTTTTTTAAGATTTTATTTATTTATTCATGAGAGACAGAGAGAGAGGTTAGAGACACAGGCAGAGGGAGAAGAAGGCCCCATGCAAGGAGCCCGACGTGGGACTCGATCCCAGGTGGGATCATGATCTGAGCCGAAGGCAGGCACTCAACCTCTGAGCTACCCGGGTGTCCCTGTTTAATATTTTAAAAATAAGATGTCACAACAGACTTACTCCCAGTTCATATTTGAAGTTTCTGACAATCAATTGTTTTAAGTTATATCAATATTCATGCATCAATATCAAGTGACATAAAGTCCTTTTCATGGGCTGTAGTTGTATATAGTTGGTTAAATATGTTATTTTTAATTCCAAGGATATTTATGCCTCATGAAAGAATTTCCTATCTGTGTTTATAGCTGCTTATTATGCTTTATTTGACAAAAATAATGATCACAATGCTGGAAGCTGATTGAAAACTTAAATGAAACTACCAGAGTCATAATTCTGAACCAATGAAGTGATTTTTTGTTATTCCACTTCACTTATGTTATGGCTCATAAAAAAAGAAAGAAATTCTTCTCTTTGGTTTAGATATCATTGTTTTTACTTAACTTAATAATAATGTAGGGTAATATCCATAAATTGTGTTTCTAGAAACCCTGCATTTAAGAGGTCAGCTCAAGCAACAGAAGCCATCACCTGAGATAGAATCAGTGCTTGGCACCTGTCTCTAGCCTGTTTCAGGTCAGATAACCTCTCTTTCGCTGATTGGTAAAGATTATATCCAGCCAAAAAGTACAGCCCAGACTGAGGTATGGTAACTGTGACATATTTGGGGCACAATATAAATTAGGGTATTTCTGCAGCCACGAGACCATTTTTCTTTAGTCGAGGTCCATGTTTTACAAACTGCAATCAAAAAGGGTTCTAGGAAAAAAAAAAAAAAGCGTTCTAGGAGACTCAGTAATAGACATTCTACTGTTGAAGACCAGATCATTTCAGCTCCTATGGCACACGAGAGTTTCACAGGGAAAAATATGCTAAAGAGCAGAGTACCCTTTTAGATAGTGTGAATATGGCTATGAGGAATTGGGGTTGCTGATTCTGGTAGAGGGTGGTAACTGAGCTGCAGGTGTGTGATTGGAACAACAAAAGAAATGCTGAAATATCAAGTCCTTTTGCCATGTAAATAGAAAGAGTGAAAGAGTAAATATTTCCCAAACATTATTGGTCACCTGTTTTTATTATGCTTTTCAAAGCAAATCCAGGAAAGGAATTGTATTTTCTTTCCAGAAACATCCTTAAAGATCTTGGGGAATTGTTTAGTTGGTTGAAGTTGTTTTTCTTATTAACAAGTGAGTTCTCCATCATACTTGTCCCCTTGGTCACTTCTATGCCTATGAGCACAGGCATCCCAAGAATGGGATGAAATGTTCATCAGAGCATCTGCTTGTCTCGGGCGTCAAGATAAACTCCTGTTCAGGACACTCTAGGTGCTGACTTTTCCTGACTTTGGTTTTTATTTTTCTTCTTCCTCAAAAGATGAAATTCACCCTTTGTATTTTGTATTTCTGTCTGACCAATTCTAATAGCCAACGGTTGGTTGTAACTTGTAGAATCTGGTTCCTTAACCTGGCATGAAATTGTTACCTGAAAAGGCTTGGAAGTGCTGATGTAAATATGGGAAAGCAAGAATTGCTTCTGATACTCAAAAGAGCAAATATAATGTCTTGGAAGAGATTGGCAGGATGCGCTTCGAGGGGTGATTACCTCAGCCTGGCCCAGATGGTCCTGGGCAGAGACTGTGTGAAACTCCTTGCCAATATATTCCTTTATTGCTCTCCTGTAATAAAGTCACTTTCAAGTTTTTTTTTTATAAGAAACTAATAAAATATTTTTATGACTCATAAAGTACAAGTGATTTTATTATGGAGAGTACTGCTTTCTGCGTGATCCTTATAAATGTTCGTGAGTCCATTATTTTTTTCTTGTCATACCACTTCTTCCATTTTCCTCAACTGTTTCTAATACATTTCAACAACAATTATCACAAACCTGTGAACATTTTTGTAAACACTCTTTTCTAGCATTTTATTAACATCAACCTAGCCAATGTTTCTCTTTTTTTGTTTTTTTCTGTTGAAGATTAAGGATTCTAAGTGCTAGGCCATCCGCTGAGCTCTCATTAACCTTGGCAGTGACTCTTCCAGGGAGATGGTATTGTTTCCATTCCGCACAGGCAGATTCTGTAGGAACCAAAGGGAAGAGCAGTTTACTAAAGATGGCTTGGCTGTAACTGGCAGAGCCAGGGGTCAAACCCCAGTGAGATTCTAAAATCACAATCTGCCTTCAGCTCTAAGTGATTGAAATAAGTAAGCATTAGACCACATTAGATTGTGAATCACAGCCTGGGATGGACACATTGAATTTTGTTTTCTGTATCAGAGTGCTCAGGATTATATTTTTTTTCAGACTAAAAAAAAAAAAAAGATTTTTTATTTTCCCCCTGAATTCTAAATTTTATTTATTTATTTATTTATTTATTTATTTATTTATTTATTTATTTATTTATTTATTTATTTATGATAGTCACAGAGAGAGAGAGGCAGAGACACAGGCAGAGGGAGAAGCAGGCTCCATGCACTGGGAGCCCGATGTGGGATTCGATCCCGGGTCTCCAGGATCGCACCCTGGGCCAAAGGCAGGCGCCAAACCGCTGCGCCACCCAGGGATCCCCCCCTCCCCCCTGAATTCTAATACTTAAGAATGAAAACTTCTCTGAATTTTACAAATGTGTGAACTAGCACCCTAAATGCCAGGCACAGCAATTGCTGTTGCTCTCTCCCTCCAGAACCCTCTGCTCATCTGTTCATTGCTGCTTTTTTTCTTGCAAGAGCTGAATAGGAGGATCTCAATTGACTCGAAGTTTTCTAGTCCTGGAAGAGTGGGCTGTAGGTTGAAGGCAGCATTGTTCTCTTTCATTAGCAGCATCTGCACTCCCCGTTTTCTACCTGCTGGAGCACTGACACTTCTTCTACATGTGTTAAAAAAAAAAAAAAAAGTTCACATTTACAGTTCAGACCAGAAGATCAGAAGTAAAAATGATTGTTGCAGGGGCACTTGGCTGGCTCAGTCTGTGGAGTGTGTGACTCTTGATGTTGAGATTGTGGGTTCGAGCCCCATTTTGGTTGTAGAGATTACTTAGAAATAAAATCTTTTAAAAAATGATTTTTTTTTGCAAAGAATTATATAAAGTGAGAGACGGAAAGGATATAGTAGCTGTTCTTTTGTAATTTTTCAAGAACTACCTGCAACAGAATCACTCGGGTTCTTGTTTAAAGCATGGATGCTGGAAGCCTACGGACTTATTCAGTATCCCTGAGGGGTGGGCCTGAGACTGCATTTTAGTAAGTTTCTCAGGTGATTCTCCTATGCTAAGATTTGGGAAACCATTCTTTTGTGGCTTCTATGTTATTTTTAGTGTTCTTCAAAGCCGAGCTAGCATTTCTAAAATGTTAACAATCCACTAGGGAATCACAAAAGTGTATTTTTCCTTCATAAATCTGGCAATGCTGTCCTCATTTCCACACTTAATTACTTAAAACACCACCCAACAAACAAAGCATTTGAATCAAAGTCTCACTAATCTTCCAAGTTAATGATGAAGTGACTCAAGATATTAAAATAATCTCATAATAGCAATAGTAATTATAATTGAGATAATAAATTATAACTTAAAAATAATATTTACAGGTAAGATGTCCAAGACACTGGTATATTCATTACTGCCCCCCTTTCAGAGAGGGTAACTGAGGCCCAGAGAGATTACATGTCTTGCCCGAGGTCACACAGCTCACATAGGATGGAGCTAGGATCAGAACACAGGCAGAAAGCCTTGAGAGCTTCTGTTCAGGTTTTACATATTTCCAAAGCCTGGTATTTGAAAAGTTGATAAGCATCCCAAATTTTATATATTTTTTTTTTATAGAACAGAGCTGAAACTGACCCGGAAGGCAGCCTATGTGAGATACTTCAATAGCTCAGCCTTCTTCTTCTCAGGGTTCTTTGTGGTGTTTTTATCTGTGCTTCCCTATGCACTGATCAAAACAATCATCCTTCGCAAAATATTCACAACCATCTCATTCTGCATCGTTTTGCGCATGGCAGTCACTCGGCAATTCCCCTGGGCTGTACAAACATGGTATGACTCTCTTGGAGCAATAAACAAAATACAGGTAATGTACCCAACAGGGCATCATTTGCAATGATTTTAGAACAGTTTTGAACTTTTCTAGTGAGCAACCTCTCTGGAGATGAAGTGTTGGTCTTGGGCCCGTTTGATGCTCAGGATTTCCTCTCTTGGTGTCTACATGTGGTCTAACAAGCCCTTGTGATGAAAACCTAGTGAAATAAAAAGGAAGGCCTGAGATTCTCTTAAGTCAAAGGAGTTGACGGAAATATTGTTTCTGTATTCCGGAGAATTTTATTTAAGAAATCAGCTAATAGATTGGTTCTCATGAGCTTGACAAATGTGCAAAAGATGGTAACAGATTCACCAGGAAGTCAGAAAACATTCCAGCGAAAACTAAATATGTTCACCTTAAATTTTTCAAAACTTTCCAACATACTTTCCAGAAAGTAAGATAGACGAGAATGGCATTTTATGCCACATCCTAGCAAAGCTGATGTAGCTGTAGCTTAGAAGAGAGGTTCTAAAGTCCTCGGGTGATTATGCCCAGTGTTTATTTAGCTAATTGAATCACCATCATGAATTTATGTGTGGTTATAATTTTTATAATTCATATATAGATCAAACTGTCTTGTACTTTTTTGATGTCCATTTAAATATTTAACCAGAAAATAAATCACTGTGATAGAAATAAACAATGAGGCTGAAGGGTGAGCCACTTTTAGGTGGTTCTGCCCTTATGTGGTCTTGGCCAGACTTTGCCAGTGGTGACCCACGGACCGTAGTTTGGCCTTGGACCTGTTTCACTTGACCTTTAAATCTTAAAACAAACCATTTGCATTAGTTCTCAGCGTTTAAAAGTTGGGAGATGTTACATATACAATAAATCATGTCTTCAGCCTCTTTTGAAGAATCAGAATATGTAGTAACTGGGTCCTCTTCTCCTGTGAGCTGCGACAGCTCCCCCCCCCCCCCCGGCCCCAAAGAGGGCCTGGCCTCTCCAGTTCTGTGCACTCGCCTCAGCCACCCTCCTTAAGTTTATCATCTTGAAGATGTGTGAGTTTTAGATCTGTGAGGTAGACCAACTGGGGAATGTAACTCAGAACCATAGCAGCTCTGGGACTGATCCTATTTCTTCTGTTAACCCTTCTCAACTGAGAGAGAGAGAGAGAATGAACACACACACAGACTCCAAGAGAGAACGTCACAAAGACCGGGAGAGTCACCGAACAGGAACACAGAGAAACTAAACTGGGAGAAAAAGAGAGAAACCAAAATAGAGATAGAGGGTGAGAGAAGAGTAGAGGAGGAAAAGCAAAAGCAAGGCAAGGAGCAGGCTGTCCTCAATACCTGCTGTGCTGAGGACTTCAGGATATAGGCACTTAATTCTTCCCAATGCTCCCACCTTTCCCTCTGGAGCTCTAATAATGTGGAGTAGAGCCCTCCTTTAGAGTCAGGGTTTGATGCTTTAAAATCAGTTATATCAGATCTTCAAACCTGTACGTACACCAGAGAAGTGATGCTCTCGATGCCTCTAATAAGGAGGGTGCTCTAGACGTGAAGACAGAAGCCTTCTCTCTGTCCTAATGTTGAATTGAGGCAGGCACACTGGAGGGTAACCAGGGAGGCCTCGTAAGTTCATCACCCAGGTTAGCATGTGAGCGTGGAAGGAAGAATCAATTGTGTGTTAAAAAATCTAATGTAGGAAGAGAGTTTTATAAAATAGCACATGTTTTAAGAGTGCATTTCAAATGTGATAAATCCTAGTGCTTGGCTTTACAAAACTGTGAACAATTATTTTATTAAGTGATTTCTAATCTGTACATAAATATATTCATAAATACTCATAAAATCCAAATACTGTTAGAGTGTAAACTAGATGTAATAATGCCATGATGCTCTTCGAGTACAATTTTTTTCCCTTCTTTTATAAACAGGATTTCTTACAAAAGCAAGAGTATAAGACGTTGGAATATAACTTAACAACTACGGAAGTAGTGATGGAGAATGTAACAGCCTTCTGGGAGGAGGTCAGAATTTTTTTTTTAATTGTTTGCTGTAAATACTTTGGCATTTTCTCCTTGCTGAATCTGGTTTTCATCTTACTAGACAAGAAAGAATGATAATTGAACTGGTTGTACTGGAAGGGGAACCAACCACTGCGCTTATTCTATACATTAAGAACTCAAGGCCCAGGAATGTTAAATACACAGAAGCCTCTTCATTTTCTTCCAAGTCATGTGATTTGCTTGACACAACAGATTAGGAAGGAATACAAATCTCATAGGTTTTGGTGCCTGATAGGGCAGGGTGTGACTTCTGACTCTGCCATTTATTCTCTGTGTTAATCTAGATCGAATTACTTGTGGAACTTTTGGTTCTCCATCTATAAAGCAAAATACTGATATTTACCTTGCAACCGGTGCCTGGCTTCGTGCAAGTTTGTTGTGAAGTATGAAGTGCTCAGCAGAGTACCAAGCGCAGACTAGTTCTTCTATAGATCCTCCTTTCTCTGACCTCAAGTCCCAGCCCAATGTGTTTTCATACATGGGTCATCCTAAAGATATATGAGAGCTACATCAGTGTGTTATTTTCTATTTTTATTTATTTCCATTCACTATTAAAGATTGTCATATCTCAAAGCCAGAAAAATATTAGCAATGATATTCAGCCTCTCAAGAAGCAATATTTGATTATTGGGAACACCTATTGAGTCCCTATTACCTTATCACTTATATCTGCTGGGTAAAGAGAAGAGTTATTTTGACATTTTTCAAAATACCTGAAACTGGTTCTTATTTATATAAGCAACTCGACAGCCAGAGCTTCACTTTACTTCATTTTTGAAGGTACAGGTTAGAGAATAATTCTTTATCTGCCTAGCAACATTGTTTTTTGGGAAAGTGTCAGATCAGAAAGGGATCAGATCGATTTTACTTCTTTGTTTTGAGGAGTTTCAAAGGCCCTTCTAGGCAAAAATAAGTTTAACATTTTCCCTCCTAATTTCAGACAAAATTGTTTCCCTGCTCTGCTGCAAAAATCTTCTACAATCTCTTCACCCAACTCTTGCCTCCCATCTGGCTATATCCTCATCCTCCAGTCTTTGACCGTCACCTGCCGAACTCTGGACTCTTCTTGATCACATTTGCTCGGGATAGTGGCGCTTCTTAAACCTTTGCTGTGATGTCTGAAATCTCAACATCCACGAGCAGTCCCTCCAGTACTGTCCTAAGAACCTGTACTCTAAGGTGACTTCTTCAGAAGCTTCCTGTCCAAGCACATCCTGAGCTTTGGGAGCACATATGCTTCCTCCACTTTGGAAATGTTACACTCTGAAATCTCTTTCCTGGCCCAGAATTTCCTAACCATCCAGCCCCATCTGTCTCTAAATCCCACCTTTACTGTAGTCCTTCAGGTTCAAGATTTCTGGTCTCTTCCCTTGGACCCTGCCTGGTTCAGCCTCTGCTTACCTCAAGACCAGTCATTTCAGTTCTCCTACAACTCTCTCAATTCCTGTTTCCTTCTACTGAACTCTTTGCTGCAAAACATTACTTTGTGGCCTTTGGTGAAGTAGGTGCTATCTGGGAAAATCACTAAACTTAGGTCATTTGTAAGCTTTACGCTGCTCTTGTTTCAACCTCAGTGGGATCCGTAAACCTTCTTGGGAAATCTTTTCATTTGTCTTTAGTTAATGTTCTTTACCATTTCCCCAGGAGCTGTGCCAGATTTTTACCACTTTCCCCAAAGCCCCTCCTTCTCTAAGGATCTTCATGGCCTTGCCTCCTACAAAACATAAAGAAAAGAGAAGCCATGATCAGTTATGAATGCTTCCGGTTTCCCTGTTCACCCTTGGAATTATGCTTTCCTCCTTCCTTTATGTCTAAGAGAAAGATGTAGGTTTCCTCCTGCCCTTGACTGAGCTATTACTACCTTGCTTCATCATCTTGGAACAGGCGGCCAGCAGTCTTCTCTCTAGAAGCTTCAACATTTCCTTTCAACTGACTCCTTTTCACGTGCGAATATTTTCAAGTTAAAAAAAAAAATTCTTCTCTTGCTTTTGCCCACCCAGCTTCGTCCTCCCAGCCTAACCCTGTCCTCTCCTTTGTTGTCACACTGTTGTCATTTTCTCATCTCTCATGGGCTCCTGCCTGCTGTAGTCTGGAGTCTGCCTTTGCCAACACATCAAAACTCTTCCATTCTTCTTGAATTCATCACTTAGCCTTAAGGTAACCACTCTTTTCATATTATTTTATCCTCAGACCATGACTTCTACCTCTTTCCTGCCTGCTACTTCCATGGTGATGGGTACCGGGTCCCCACTTAGGCTTTCTTCTAGCATTTCATGCGCTCTGTGGGTGACCTCAAGCTCAGGGCCAGCTGACATCAATGTGCTGCTGAGTCTCAAATGCAAATTTCTGGCCCCCGTTTCTTTCCTGAACTTCTTACATGTATTTCAAAATATCTTCCATGGTCCTCAAGGACTTCACATTACTTCACGTTCATCACTCATCAGGCTTCACAAACCCACTCCTTCCAGTGTATTTGCTATTTCCTTTGTTGGCATCATCATCCACCCAGTTACCCAAGGGGCAAGTCCCTGGTGAATTATATAGTACTCTGCCCTCCATCCAAACCTGGAAGTGGGTCAAATTACTACTGACTTATTAGGAAGAGGAAACTTAGAGAGTTTAAACGACTAGAACAAGGTTAGACAACTAATTAGGACAGAGCTAAAAGGTCAGCCTAAGTTTCTCTGACTCCAAAATGCGTTACCACTCACCATACTGCTCCTTATTTAAACAAAACAAAACAAAAAAGAGTGATTGCTGCTTTCCCATATACTGCTTTCACATATGTTACCTCATTTAATACCCTCAACAATATAGGAGACTGAAGCTCAGAATGTTATAACAACTTGTCAACCATTAGCCAGCTAGTTGAGAAGATGCCCTAAGAATGGGGTAAAGAGAAAATATATCATAACCATTTCATGCATGAATACACGGGACACGTAAACATGGAAAATGTTCAATCTTATTAGGGGGCAAATAAATAAAAATAAGATCAATAGTGAGATTCCATTTTCACCTGTAAAATTATAAAAACAAAGTTAAATCCAAAACCAAAAAAACAGTGTTGATAAGGATTCTTGAAAACCAGCATTCTCATATATTTGTTGATGGAAGAAAATTTAGAATTACTATTGAAAAAACTTGAAATTTCACATAATTTTTGCTCTGGAAACTCCATTTGTGGGAATTTAAACAAAAAAAATGTGCTGCCCAATTTATAGCAAAGTATGTGCATATAGTTTATTCATACTTGGGTACTATCTTACAACTAGAAATTATATTAAAAATAATGTCTAATGGTATCTAAAAATATTGATGCTTTATTATAAGTCAGAAAAAAGTGGGTCACAACTTTATTTTTTCTTAATTTTGTAAAAAAATGATATATATTTTATTGAAATATAGTTTCAAGTGCATAACATAGCGACTCAGCAAGTATATACATTACAAATGCTCACCATGATGAGGGTGGTAACCATCTGTCACCATACAAAGTTATTACAATAATGTCGACTCTATTTCCTATGCTGCTGTACTCTTCATCCCTGGTAATATGTATATATTTATAAAAAATATTTGTTTATACTTATATGTAAGAAAGTGAAGGGATTTTTTTTTATTTAAAATTTTTTTTTAAATTTATTTATGATAGTCACAGAGAGAGAGAGAGAGAGAGAGAGAGGCAGAGACACAGGCAGAGGGAGAAGCAGGCTCCATGCACCGGGAGCCCGACGTGGGATTCGATCCCGGGTCTCCAGGATCACGCCCTGGGCCAAAGGCAGGCGCTAAACCACTGCGCCACCCAGGGATCCCTGAAGGGATTTTTTAAAAAGTTTTTTTTATTTATTCATTTGAGAGAGAAAGAGCGAGTGAGAGCATGAGTGGGGCAGAAGGAGAGGGAGAGGGAAAAGTAGGCTCCCTGCTGAGCTGGGAGGAGGGGGGACTCCAGCTGGATCTCAGGATTCTAGGATTATGACCTGAGCTGAAAGCAGATGTTTAACTGATGAACCAGCCAAGCACCCTGAGAAAGTGGAGGGATTTCAGTTGAAATGTTGAGTATGGTTTCTTCTCAGTGGTAGTACAAGTGATTTGTTTGTTCTGCTTTTCTGGATTTTTCAAATTTCTTGAAATACGTGTCTTACTTCTGTAATTAGAAATGAAGATTATTAGCAACAACAGCCTTCCATTGGTCCAAGTGCTTATGGATCAAAGTCCTGATTCTAAGCATGGTACAAGTTCTTCAACAGCCTGCATGGCCCATCTTTTTTTTTTTCTTTTTAAAGATTTTATTTATTCATGAGAGAGAGAGAGAGAGAGAGAAAGAGAGAGAGGCAGAGACACAAGCAGAGGGAGAAGCAGGCTCCATGCAGGGAGCCCGGTGTGGGGACTCGATCCTGGGACCCCAGGGTCATGCCCTGGGCCGAAGGCAGCGCTAAACCGCTGAGACACCCGGGCTACCCATGCATTGCCCATCTTTACCAAGGACTCCTTTTGTCATTTTGCCGTATATATCTGATTAGCCGTTTACCGTTTCTGAGACGTATTTTGTTTTTTAAGACTAAGTCATTGTATATACACATCTGTCTTCCTGGATCACCAATACCATTTCCTGGTCTTGTGCAATCCCCCTTCTGGCCCTCATAGCTCAGCTTGCAGGTCATTTACTTGGCCAAGCTCTGAGTGCTTATTCTCTGTAATGTCGTCCTATAAGATTTGGTGTGATTTTCAGTTCTATCACTAGCACGTTTCAGTATTAATATCTATTCATTCATTATTCTCCTATGTGGGATTTTTAAAAAAGATTTTATTTATTCATTCATGAGAGACACACAGAGAGAGGCAGAGGCACAGGGAGAGGGAGAAGCAGGCTCTGCTTGGGGAACCCAATGCGAGACTCGATCCCAGGACCTCAGGATCATGACCTGAACTGAAGGCAGAAGCTCAACCACTGAGCCACCCAGGCGTCCCCATGTGGGATTCTTGAAGTGGTCTTTAGTACAGAGGTGATGCTCAATAAATATCTGTGAGATAAATAAATGAGTAAGAGAGGGGCACCTGGGTAGCTCAGCCAGTTGAGGGTTGAACATCCAACTCTTGTTTTGGCTCAGGTCATGACCTCAGGGTCCTGAGCTTGAACCCTGGTCAGGCTCTGTGTGCAGTGGGGAATCTGCTTAATATTCTCTCCCCCTCCTTTCCCTTTCCCCTGCCCCCTGCTCATGTGCTCTCTATCTAAAATAAATAAATAAATCTTTTTAAAAAAATGAATAAGAGACTAGCAAATGCTTTTGTCCCATTTTATAAAGACCTTTTATCGTCTAAAAGCTTTGCTTTTAGTTGTTTGATGACTGAGGGGGATGTTAGCCATACATATCATGAGAACCCAAAGCAGTGGTCTTCAAACAATTGCTTATGTATGACCGAAAAGAATTTTGAAAAACTATGACACATACCTCTGACACATCGTTAAGTTGACATAAATTGTTGTGTAGTTTTAAGTGGTGGCAAAAGATGTAATTCCTGTTTTTTGTATATTGTCTTAGTGTGCTAAATGAGTTTTTGTCAGAACCTTGGCGCTATAGGAGTGCATTCAGTTTATGGAAGATAAATGAATTCATGCTGTCAGTTCTCATTATCAAGCCATTCAACTTGCTTTGTGCCAGAAAAAGTATAACAACCTTAAAATGTAGATAATTCATGTATATCAACTAGATTTATTAAATTATTAAGAATTGAGTAAATAATGAAGTAATTAGTCAATAAAAATGCCTTATACTGCCACTCATTTCTGCAATCTTATTCTAAGGGAGGCAAGACATATAGATTTCCTTTAGTGTGAAATTGGGGGAAATGAGATGTTACCTCCTTCAGTATTCCTGGCTTTTTACTTCAGGTAAAAAATTTGATGGTGAGCAACGATCTAGGATATTGAAATTATGTTCTCATTAAATGCTTTATTAAAATTTTTGTTTTTTTACATCATATACTCTAGAACCCACATGCTATATAATTAAATACCATAGGCTGTAGATCATGTGCCATGTGCTTTTCATAATATATAACAAATAGTTACTGAAAATACCTGAAAAGCCTACCTTTTTATTTTCTCTGTATCTATTTTTTCAGGGATTTGGGGAATTACTTGAGAAAGCAAAAGAAAACAGTAATGACAGAAAAATTTCCAATGGGGACAACAGCCTCTTCTTCAGCAACTTCTCACTTCTTGGTACTCCTGTCCTAAAAGACATCAGTTTCAAGATAGAAAGAGGACAGTTATTGGCGGTTGCTGGATCTACTGGAGCAGGCAAGGTAATCTCTTCGTTCTTCACCATTGAGAACTTAATTTGGCAGGCGTTTCTTTCTTTTCCTAGTTTGTCTGTAGTGTAAGAGGGTATGTTGGAGAAATTCTTATGTTGGTAGTAGGAGAACGCTTGGATATAGTGTCTCTTAGAATATAAATTGTTCTATTGATAATATTCTTTAGTCTTTTCTTTCTTCATATTACTTCCGGTGACTTTTTCTTCTGCATCTTTATATGTTACATGGCACAGAACACCAGTGTCTTTCTTTCCCCATGTGCTGATCTTTACATTTATTAAAATTTTTTCTCTTTTTTTCTTTTCTTCAATTGGGGCATAGTTGACACCCAGTGTTATGTTAATTTCAGGTGTTCAACGTAACAATTGAACACCTCTGTACTTCTGCTATGCTCACAAATGTAGCCACCATCTGTCATGATACAACTCTATTATAAGACCATTGATTATATTCCCTGCGCTGTACCTTTCATTGATGGTTCATTCCATACCTGGAAGTCTACATCTCCAACTCCCCTTTATCCATTTTGTCCATCCCCCCACAATCTCCCCCTCTGGCAAGCATCAGTTCTCTGTATTTTTGGGTCTGTTTTTGCCTTTTTTAATTTATTTATCCTTTCCTTTTGTTTTTTAAGTTTTACATATAAGTCAACACAGTGTTTTCTTCTTTTTTTTCTTTAAGATTTTTATTTATTTATTCACGAAAAGCACAGAGAGAGAGAGAGAGAGAGAGAGAGAGAGAGAGGCAGAGACACAGGCAGAGGGAGAAGCAGGCTCCATGCAGGGAGCCCAATGTGGGACTCAATCCCAGGTCTCCAGGATCACGCCCTGGGCTGAAGGCCGCTAAACCACTGAGCCACCTGGGCTGCCCGACACAGTGTTTTATACATGGTAGAAATTCAGTAACTTTATTGAATAAGTGAATCATTCATTTTTAACAATCTTTGGCACAGATATTTTTCAGAGCTGCTCCAGGAAAACCATGGCTTAGATTTTACCTCAGTAACCACATAGGCAAAAGGTCCCTATTTTGTTAACTTTGGAATTTTATTTATTTATTTATTTATTTATTTATTTGTTTGTTTGTTTATTTATTTATTTAAATTTTGTTTTGTTGTGGAATTTTAGAGAATGGATTCAGGCTTGCTTAGGATTTATTATGAGGAAAAATTATTGAGTGGGATAGGTTTTTGAAAGAAACATGTAAGGATGTTAATTTATTTAATGCTGGTCAGCTTCCTACTCCCTACCTCCAACTTATTATAAGCCAGGAATATTTAGAGATACACCTGAAAAAATTAACAGATTAAAAAACAAATACAGGTAAAGGGTGGAACTCAAGGATGAAAGGAAAGGGAGGAAGGAAGATACAGAGGGAGAAGCACTGCTGTTAATAAGACAAAAATGTAAATAAAAGTAGGTATTAAACATTCCTGAAAGACATTCATTAATATCTAATATAGGAAGAACCATATTTTTGGATTTAGTTTGAAACTTGGGAAATAAAATGCTGCAGAAAATGTCTAGTCATTGAGTTGATGTCCACAATGGTGGTAATACAATTTGCTCATTTCTCTCTCCAATTATGTTTTTCTACATGTGAAACCGGCCTTTTAAATAAAGTAGCTGTAGTTGTATATTTTCTTCTTAGGAAAACTTGTTCCTCCTTTAAGTATTATTTGTCCTTCTATTATTTAATATTAGTAGCAATTTTCATTATTGAAAGGGAAAGATACCATAGGAGGAGGTGTTCATATACAAATTAATAGGTGATCTAAACAAGAATGTTTGCTGGCGAGAGGTAATTATGTTTCATATAATTTTTAAAATTCTGTTTGTATGTTTGAATTACTTCTTTGAAAGGTGCACAAAAATAGCTTTGGAATTACAAATTACAAGCAATTAAACAAGTTACCAGCAATTAAATCTCAGGAAATTCTATTAAGAATTGATGAGCAGATAATTGCTGGCTGGAGTTGCAATTGCATTTTCTGGGAAGTAGCTCTGAAGATGGAGTCAGATGAAGGCAGTGATTCCTTAGGAATAATTAAACTCTTCTGAGGGTTTGGCAAGTCAATCCAGGAGGGAGCCCTTTCATAGTATTAGGAATGGAGTATTTTATAATCTGGACAAGAGATCTAGCTAACATATAAGATTGAATAGTTGAAAGTATTAACATTTTAATCCAAATCCCATCTCACTCGATTTGGTATATCGAAAGCCTTAAAGATAACTAAATAATTCTTCTACGTCTATGACTTAACCTAGTGTGCTTGCAGAGATTTTATAACGTAAAGACATTCATCACAGCATTGTTTCAATAACCCAAGATTGGAGGGACCCCTAAATGTCTACTACTAGGGGATTGAGTGGATAAAGTTTGGTGTAGTTATAGAATGGCATGTTCTTCAGTCAGTAAAAAGGATGTTGAAAATGACTGTGAAGGATATGTATGATACACTGTTAAGTAAAGAAAGGACAAGTTATAGAATGTTACATACATAATGATTTGTGTTTTATAAAAGCATGCATATATGTATACATGTGTCTGGAAGGACATTTGTGGATCAAGTTGCTATCTCTGAGATTTTGGGTATAGTTTGTATCTCTAGATTTTCCAAAGTAACAACAATTTATATATGTATTAATATCAATTATTTTCTTAAAACACTAAGGCAGGTTTAATTTTATCACTCCTGTTATAATTGTCTAGATGGTAAGGGAGCCATATCTTCTTTAAACTGTATTCCAGGGACTATCCTAGTGTCCAGCATGTAATAAGTGCTTGACATAAATTTATTTAATTGAACATCTTTAGAAAAATACATTTTTTGTTCTAATCTACATTAAAGTGTCTTTCATTTATGAAACTTCTGTGAATCATTTTAATTAAAGAAAATCGGTTTAAGGGCAGCCCTGGTGGCCTAGCGGTTTAGTGCTGCCTTCAGCCCAGGGTGTGATCCTGGAGTCCCAGGATCGAGTCCCACGTCAGGCTCCCTGCATGGAGCCTGCTTCTCCCACTGCTTGTCTCTGCCTCTCTCTCTCTCTCTCTCTCTTTCTCCGTGTCTTTCATGAATAAATAAATAAAAATCTTAAAAAAAAATAGGTTTAAGAGTCTGCACCACTGGGTACTCGGGACTGAAGGCTGGCTTTGTGACATCTTCCCCAGGGTGGAGGGACTTTCATTTTTCTGTTGTTCCACCACAGCTGAAGCAGTTCTGTGGCCTTGCTGACAACCCCTGACACCACATAGTTTCTATCATCCATCCTGGCCTTACCCGGGTACTAAATTTTAGTTTGGTCTTATAATAGTTGGCAGCAGATGTATAGAATAAACTATTAGCTCCTGCTTTTGTTTACATTTCAAATAAAATTTTAGAATAAAACACAAATGTCTGTGAGGTTTCATCAACATATATATTCAGTGATGCTTCCACTTAATGTCCTCTCCCTCAAAATGCCAAAATATGTAATGAATTATTTTATATAATATTTTTGTATAATATTATTTTAATATTTGTATTATTTTAGGAAATGGGAGGCCATTAGAGGGTTTTAAGCATAAAAGTAACATGACTCGACTTACTTTTTGGTGGGGCCACTTTGAAAATAGGTTGTAGAGAGACAAGCGTAGAAGCAAGGAGAGGAGTTAGGAGGCTATTGTGCTAACTGGGCAGGAGATGATGTTGGCTTATTCCAGATAGTGATGATGGAAGTAGCAGTCAGATTCAGGACATGTTTCTAAGAAAGATACCACAGAATTAGATTTTTTCATACGCGGCCTATGAAAAAAATGGAGGAGTCAAGGACGAGTCCAAGGATTGAGTAACTGGAAGCATGAAGGTACCATTACCTGAGAAGATTATGGGAGAAACCGGTTTGGGCAGAGCTAGACTGTAAAACATTAAGTTTATAATGCATATTCGACATCCAAGCTGAGATGTTAGTTGGATACACAGCTCTGATTTCAAGGAAGTAGGGGCTGGCAGTGGAAAAACTTGAGGCTAGATGAGATTCCAAAGGATGGAGTATGGATAAGAAGGGAAAGGAAAGGGGCCAAGGTGTGAGCCTAAGGGCATTCCAACTTTTTAGAGGTTGTGGAAGTGTTTTATTATAGTGGTTATATTTATAATAACTTTATTTTTAATCTTTACCTAATGTAAGCTCTGATAAAATCAATGTTTTTTTTTCTTTCTCTGCTGCCTCCTTTCCTTCTACTTAATGTTAGTCAATAGTATTATCTTTCTTAATGATTTATCTTTGTAGTGTTAAATATGTTTACACATCTATTACCCAGTGTGTTACCTTGAAATGATATCCTTTGACTTCCAGTTTTTCTTGATAAAGCAATCAGCAAATTTCCTTTATACCCCATTTCCTCTGTTTTGTTTGTATTTTACTTATTGTCGGGCATATAACGTATTGAAATTCTTTTCTTCAACTCTAATTCCCACATTAGTTTAAATTTTAGTTCACAGTCCTTTATATAAAATCTTTGCTCACTGATAGTCTTTTTGGTGAAGCTTCTTCAGTCATCTCTTGGATGATTTTTAAAAAAGATTTTGTTTATTTATTCATGAGAGACACAGAGGCAGAGACACAGGCAGAGGGAGAAGCAGGCTCCATGTCGGGAGTCCGATCCCAGGACCCCAGGATCACCCCCTTCAGCTGAAGGCAGACGCTGAATCACTGAGCCATCCAGGCGCTCCATCTCTTGGATGATTTTATCCTCATTTCTTCAAGAAGGGCTCCTGGGAACAATATTATCTGATTATCTCTCTTTTTAACTGATATCTTGTTAGATGAAGATCATATTGAATCTGCCTTGTTGGGTTATTGTGAGGATTAAATAAATGAATGCAGTTAAATCACATACAACAGCACCCAGTATAGACGAAGTACTCGGTGGATGTTAGCTGGGACTAATCTTTCCCTGACGTCCTCCAAACTCATCCTATTGATCTGAATCAGGTGCTCCAATCCCTGTGAACCTCTACCATAGCACTTATCACATCCACTGTAATTGTCTCTTTTATTCCTTTTTGTGTCTTTTGTGCTTAGCAGCATATCCAGAACAAGAAGTGCTTACTTCTTACTTCTTACTTAAATTAATATAGACTCCTTTAAAATCAGAATAGATACCTCTGCTTAGGATGATAGTTGGAGGTGGGTATACTCTGAGAATGATTTGATCAAATGATTTAACTTAATAACCATGGCTTTATTTCCAGACTTCACTCCTAATGATGATTATGGGAGAACTGGAGGCTTCAGAGGGTAAAATTAAGCACAGTGGAAGAATTTCATTCTGCTCTCAATTTTCTTGGATTATGCCTGGCACCATTAAAGAAAACATAATTTTTGGTGTTTCCTATGATGAGTATAGATATAGGAGTGTCATCAAAGCATGCCAACTAGAGGAGGTAAGTGACTATGTGACATACTTCTGATGATGTGTATGAAATCTTCAAACTACTTGAGGTATATAATTAGCCTCCTATTCAACAGTCAGCGTACATATATTAATCAAATTTCCAATATGGACAAACTACCCTGAGTAAATCAACTAATAAAATATATGACCCCTGCTTTAAGACATTTACAAAAACATAGAGAAAGTACAATTTATTTTTAAAATGAAAGGCGCTGATTTGGTTACGATAAAAACTCTATGAAATGGAGATAATTTTATTGACTCATCAGTGTGACACATGTCCTCAATGGACTTTATATGGTATGCGTTTTTAAAAAGATACTTCAAAATTACATGAGAGGATTTTAATAATTTTAATAATTACCAAACCCTAATTGTGTGAGCATTGACCTGTTAGTAGAGAAACAGAGGTAAAATTGTGATTATATTTTATCCTTTGGCCTTAAACGTATAACTACATGACCTCTAGTGACTGTCATTTTCTGAAACAGAGCCAAAATGAAGATGATACTGTTGACTTTTTTTATAATAATATTGGGGAATGGGCTAATTATCTGAAAATATGTGAAGTATTCTAAGGGAGGCCAGTATATGGATTCTTGTGCTATTTAATACATAAATTGTATGGTGGAGGTTTCAATAATTATTGATGTAAATGTTAAGGCAGGGAATATATCCTTATGAGGTTTATCAACAGTATTGCCTGAATAATAATTGATTCAAAGTCACTATATTTAGCCATCTGGGTGGCTTAGTTGGTTAAGTGTCCTACTCTTGATTTTGGCTATAATCATGATCTCAGGGTTGTAAGACTGAGCCCCTCTCTCCCTCTCCTTCTCCCTCTTTACCCCTGCTCATGCTCTCTCTGTGTCTCTCACAAACAAATAAATAAATTTTTTTTAAAAAAAGGAAGTAGAAATGAGCTAATAATAAAACAAACAAAACACAAAGTCATTATCTTTGATAGGTGGGATTTGACTCTAGTGAATTCCTTTAAGTCCTCTTTTATGAAAAAAAAATTGCCATGGAAATAAAATGAAACTTAAATACAGTATACATAAAAAATAGAAAAGTCTAATAGAAGCTGCAGTTCTTACAAAAAGAGGGATACATGCTTGTACAAGTGGCTCTTCCTGTAGATACTGACCCATTCAAAGGAGTTTTTTAGAGCTCCATTCTCTTATTTTGTGTACACAAAAACATAATAAAAACTACCCTGAAAAAGTATTGGATTTATCTTGAAGAAGATACTCTTCATTCCTCAAAAGCCCTTCTTCCAAGAATAGTATTTCACAACCTGGCGGGTGAAACTCTCAGGGGATTTGTTATTTTAAAAAAATCTGAGTGTTTTTAGAGACCCGAGATACTTATCTAGGTGGGGACTGGGATGTAGGAGTGGTAGTGTCTTGCAAGATAAATCATAGAGTTTATTTATTAGTTGAAAGGTGGTGGAAGGTTTCTGGTATGCTTTATTTTTTTGCTTTGAATATACCTTTTCTCATAGAAATGATTTTGTAAATGGTGATTTGATTCCACCAAATAAAAGTATATTTACCCCAAATAGAGCATAGTTAAATTACTTATAATAAATTCAGAGCTGTGGGTCCCTCATTCATGAAATGAGCATTTATTAACATGAATACTGTGCTAAGTGTGGGAAAACCAAGCTGAAAAATACACAGCCCATTTTCTTTTCTTTTTTCTTTTTTTCTTTTTTTTTTTTTTAAGCAGGGAGAGACATGTCAGGTTTGGGCTTTATTTATTTATTTTTTTAAGATTTTATTTATTCCTGAGAGACACACACAGAGAGAGAGAGAGAGAGAGAGAGAGAGAGAGAGAGGCAGAGACACAGGCAGAGGGAGAAGCAGGCACCATGCAGGGAGCCCATCGGGGACTTGATCCCGGGACTCCAGGATCACGCCCTGGGGTGAAGGCGGCGCTAAACCGCTGAGCCACCTGGATTGCCCCCATTTTCTAAATGGTACTCATCATAGGGATCTGTGTTTTAGTGAACCATTGTGTGGTAAGTGAATCATATCTCAATAAAGCTGTTAAAAATAATGAAAGAAAAGAGGTTAAGAGCAAGAAGAGCTTATTCTTTTTTTTTTTTTTTTGTGATTCTATGACCAACCTCAAAATTATTTTTAAGTGTATGAGTCAGTGTTTTTTAGTATAGTTACAGGGCCGTATGCCTATCACCATATCTTCAACTCCTCTAAAAGAGGTGCTATTAGCAATCAGTTTCCATTTCTTCATACCAACCCCCCCCACCCCAACACACACACCTGACTGTAAACAACCACTAATCCACCTTCTGTCTCTGAAGTTTTCCTGTTCTGGATATTTTACACAAATGCAAACATTCAATATATGGCCTTTTGTACCCAAATAAATGCTTAAACTAGAAAAGAGTTAAGAAGTCTTCGTTTTTTTTTTTTAATTTATTTATTCATGAGAGAGAGAGAGAGAGAGAGAGAATGGCAGAGACACAGGCAAAGGGAGAAGCAGACTCTATGCAGGGAGCCCAATGGGGGACTTGATCCTGGGTCTCCAGGATCAGGCCCTGGGCTGAAGGCGGCGCTAAACTGCTGAGCCACCCGGGCTGCCCCAAAAGTCTTCATTTTAAAAACATTGGAGCCTTGCTGTATTTAATAAAAATATGAATAGAATAAGATCCTTATACTTGTGAGGTTAATGGACCAGTGGGAGAAAGAAACGTATCAATAAAGAATGTAGTTGGTGCTCTAATAGAAAATGAAAGAACCCGTTCTGTAGGAGTGAAAAGAGGGAGCATAAGAATTGATCTGGATTTGCCCAATGTAAGGAATAGGTACAGGGCTAATGTCCTCCCACAGTGGAATGATTCACTGCGGGATTCCAGTGGTGACAAGAGTGAAATTTATGGCCTTGGAGTAATTTTTTTGACTAAGAACATTAGAGCTGACAATAAAGTAGAGAGAAGTTTAGGTTGGTGTGAAGAATTGGGAGATTGATGAATAAATGGTTACAGGATTATTGAGAAAATTAAATGGAACAAATATAAGGTGTGTAACATAGCACCTGGTGTAAATTAGCCATTCAGTAAATATTACCTCATTTCTACTTCCTTTTTTTTAAAAAAATTATTTATTTGTTCGTGAGAGACACAGAGAGAGAGACAGAGACATAGGCAGAAGGAGAAGCAGGATCCCTGCAGGAAGCCCCATGTGGGTCAATCCCAGGACCTCAGGATCACGACCTGAACCACAGGTCGACGCTCAACCGCTGAGCCACCCAGGTGCCCCCTCTACGTCCTTTTGAGGTGGAGAATACTGCTAGAGAGCGTGATGTAAGATGAATATGTTCTGAGAGTCAGTTCTTGTTAGTGAGTGACTACTATGGAAATGAGGTGGAACTTGGTGTGATTAAGATGGGAGAACCATGATGGAGAACCATGAAGAGTCATCAATGTGAACTTTGATGATGACAAAAGTAGCTATAAGAAAAAATTAGAAAAGTGGTTATCTGGAAATATGGTAGCTGTTGTTCATGACCCAATGAACAAAAGTTGGAGTATTCTTTTTTTTTTAAAGAGAATTTTTTTTAAGCTTTTATTTATTTATGATAGTCTCACAGGTAGAGAGAGAGAGACAGAGACATAGGCAGAGGGAGAAGCAGGCTCCATGCACCGGGAGCCCGACGTGGGACTCGATCCCAGGTTTCCAGGATCGTGCCCTGGGCCAAAGGCAGGCGCTAAACCGCTGCGCCACCCAGGGATCCCAAGTTGGAGTATTCTGTGGAAGAAAACAGATGGCATCAGACAGTTTGGAGTTCAGGCACATTGGTTCCATGTTCCAGAAACGGCAGTGGGCTTGGGTGACGATTCCAGTTTCTATGTGCCTTTCAGACCCCAAAACATGACTTATGTGATTACCCTGTACCAGACACTGTTCCCAGTGGTGGGGTCAGGGTGGGCACAAAATGAAAAGTTATTCCCCCTTCCCTCAAATAACTTTCAGGCTGGTTGGGGGAAAACATCTGTAAAGAGACCCTTTCAATAAATGATAGCAAGTATCGGGATAAAGGTGTTCCGAGGGCACTGCGGAAGCCCACTTGAGGGTTTTTGGCTTGCCTCAGTGGTTCAGGAAAGACTTTCTCTAAAATTGGACAGCTTGAAGAATGAGTAAAAATGGGAAAGGTATTCTGGACCAAAGAAACTGAGCGGAAACACAGGACATGAAACCAATCGGTTCGTGCAGGGAACCACAAGCTCTTGATGGGACCAAGGGGGACACTGAGGGCAGAGGGAGGAATGGACCTGGAGGACCATGTCCTCGGGACTTTGCACCCCAGGCTCAGGAATTGCTCCTTGGAGACCTTTAATCGGGGGAGGGATGCAGCCAGTTTTGCACTGTGGGTCTATCACTTTGGCTATGATACGAGGAACGGAATTAAGGGGGGTGCATTTTGGAAGTCCGTGGGTTCGCAGAAAGAGCATATATTTTGAAATCTGAGAGAGTTGGGCTAGTAAAGAAAGTTGCTTAGTCCTATTATACACTGAGGGTTATCCTCTCTAATATGGAGATTATATGACTTATTTTGTAGAGTTTTGTAGATTTTTCTGGTGCACAGAAAGTACTTGATGAGCAAAACAGCCCGCAATGGTAGTGACAGTAGCAGCAGCAGTATTTGCTCTTCGGACTAGCAGACGGGAGGCGAGCAGGAGCGGGGTCAGCGATCCAGGAACAGGGGTTGTGAGGGGCAAGAAGAAACAGGAGTTAAGGGGAGGGGTTGTGCGGAGCTCAGGAGGGCCGCATCTCTGTCCTATTCCATCCATAGGGAAGGGCCTTAGGGAAAAGGGGCCTTCAGGGGAAGGCTGAGGGATTTTTTTTTTCCCTAAAGAAATTAGAAGAAGAGAGATTGCTTTAGGATTAAGGATTCCCAGAACAACAGGAACTGGAAAGGGGGGCAGGTAGGACGCGATGGGTTTAGGAAGGACGCACAGAGAAG